ATTATTTTTTTATACAGTTATGAACAATAAATGACATTTAGTTCATTCAGAGAAAATAAGCGGCTCAAATGTTTCCCTCCATGTTTCATGAGTCTGACTTTAAGTTACATTGAACAAAGGTGTCTTTTGTTCACGCACACAAACTTTACATTTATATTATATTTAATGAGAACAACAAGGTAATTTGGTTTAAAAAATGTTTTAGTTTTTTATTCTTGTTCTTTTGAGGATTCAGTCAAACTATGAGCTATGTCATAAATGAAGTTCAGTCACTTTTATTTTAGGATAAACTGAACTGTGTCTCCATTTTATTTAATCCCAGCATTTCAGCTTTAATCCAGCAGATTTTGTTGATTTAACTGTAATTCTGTCAAACAAACAAAGTCTGTTCTGCTTGATCATTAGCTGGCTTTGGTTATAAGTTGGAAACAATTCCCTGTCAGGATCTGTGTCTGTTTTTAGGGGTATACCATTTTTATATTTTGTGTTTTAGGGTTCAGTTCTTATAATTCCGTGTGCCGCTCGTTTCAGTATTTTCCTCCGTCAGTCTCTGCTCGTCTGACTTACACCTGTTCACTGTTCCTATTAGCCTCAGCTGCCGTTGCCATGTCTCCTCTGTTTCCTTAAAGCTTTGTTCAATTGTATTTTTTGCTGCCACGTCAGCCTTTTGTTTTTGTTTACTAAATTCTTGATTTGAGGTTTTTCTCGAGCTCCTCGTGTTCATTCTGCGTTCCTGGGTCCAAACTCCACGAGCTTGGACTCTTCCTGTGGCCATCGGTCTCAAAGGTACAAACCTCAGAGATAAAACACGGTTTATAGGAGATCGTGTTATTGCCTGTTTTGTCCGTTAGCGGAGATATATAATGAACCTTGGGATACATTTCAAATAAATCTTTACATTTATAACTGATGCTCTCATTTTCATTCAACCTTTATTTATACAGTTTAGTCCCATTGAGCCTGGAGGGCTCATTTACAAAAGAGACCTGAATTTTTCTGCTACGGTTCAGAATAAGGGGTTCCTACAAGTTTGACTGAATTCATATTTCCCAACAATGCTCAGAAACCCCAAACTAAAGGTGTATTACAACTAAATGTGCAACTGTGGTCAAAAATGACTTAGTCTTAAGACAAAATGTTTTATTTTAGGGAAACATTTGTGGCGAAATGGTCTGGGAAGCTCAGTCCTCACCTCCTTCTACAGGTGTGCAGTGGAGAGCATCCTGTGCTCCAGCATCAATGTGTGGCATGGAGGCTGCACAGCTGCAGAAAGAAAAGCTTTGCAGAAAGTGGTGAAGGCTGCACAGAAGTCTGTCGGAGTCCGCCTCCCCACCATCACAGACATCTACACCTCCAGATGCAGGAAGAGGGCCACCTGCATCATGAAGGACCCCACTCACCCAGCACACACACTTTTTGCCCCGCTCCCCTCAGGCAGGAGGAGCATTAAGTGTAGAACCACTAGACTGAGGAACAGCTTCTACCCTGAAGCTGTTAGACTCATGAATCCCTAACCAGGAAAATCCCTGTAATGCCACTTTAATTGGAGATTTGACACTTTATTTGTGCTGCTGATTATCCATGCTGCTGATTTCTTGTCTTTACACTGCTCTATTCATACCCAGCTGCTCACAACAGGCTCATGTTCAGGCTGCTGTTTAATACATCACATTATTTTACATAATTATTGTTTAGTGTATATCTTAGATCCTTATATACTGTTTCTTTTTTATACTTTATATTTTTCCTAAGTTTGGGTGTAACTGGGACCTTGAGTACACAATTTCTTTCCACCTCATGTACCAAATGTGATGCAAATGACAATAAAGAACCTTGAAAATGATTCAAATTGGACTTCAGGCTGGGTTTGTGTGAACAGAAAGGCTTCTCCAAAAAATAAGACATCATTATGCAGCATCTTTAAGCAGCAACTCTTGAACAAACGCTGAAATAGTGAATCCTTCCCAGTTTTTTATATCTAATAAAACAGGTCAACTAGGTGAGTTCATGTCCATATATTCACTGCACCTGCTGACAAGCCCACAATGTAGTATATAATTTAAATATACAATCCTGATTCTGTTTTTTTGTAAAATGTAAATTAAAAACAGAAATTAATGATTTGCAAATCTTATAGACCCATATTTTATTCACAATGAAACATAGTAAAAAAAAATGCTTAAACAAAGATTTTGTACATTATTTAGGAAAGAAAAAAATAAAAGGTAATTTTGAAATTGATAGCAGCAACACAATTAAAAACATGAGACGGGGTAACGAAGACTACAAAACTAAAACAGTTTGGATCAGAATCAGCCGGAGGAGCAATTAGGTTATCGACATGACAGGAAGAGGACTGATGATTAAAGAAAGAACATGTTAAAAAACTAAATTTCACTTTCTTTTTATGTATTTGGGTGTTGTACAATAAAACCGCAGCAGAAATGAACATGAACTGATTTAAATGAAAAAAATTCTTCTCGATTCAGATTTGATTCTGATCAAACCCCAACTGGACAAACACACAGAAACAACGAGCTGCTTTATTTTAAATTATACTTTATTTCATATAAAAGCAAAACAAGAAACAAATAAATTAGATAGTTCTAAAATAATTCTCTTCTTGGAGGGGGGGGGGGGGGGTGCTTAAGACCGTGATCGATGAGGATAACAGGAATGTAAAACTGATTTTTGCTTATGAGGATGAAAGAGGCACTTTAAAATAAAACCGAGAACACGAACGAGAAAGAGAAAAATTTTGTAGACAAAAATACTTGAATGTATAAATATTTGAAATTAGAAATAAAACCCTCCGTTTTTCTTTTAATGGTGTTTTTAAGCCGCCGATGTCACAAAGGAGCACTGTAAACAAGAAGAAGCAGATTTGAGGCGTTGTCCCTCAGGATGATGTTTGCTGATCACACAGTTTGATCTCTCTGTTAAAGATCTCCGTCCACAGAACTCACAAAGCCTGTTCTGTTTGTTTTGCCTGAGCTCAGATTGAGGCGGCAGAGTCTCTTGTTGGCATTTCAGCCCACGGGGGAATAATCTACAGCTGGTGGTGGCAGGGCGGACAATCTGAATTAAGATTTGTAATTTAAAAGATGGGAGGCTTTAGGGATAAAGATAGGGGATGTTTGGGAGAGAAGAGGACACATTACCATAATAAGAGCCTCTTCATTTGCACACAAGCTCAAACTAACCCCCCCCCCAAAAAAACCTCCCTCTGGTCTGCAGTCACACCCATTAATTCGGCAAAGCCTTCATTGTCCGGCCGGGCCGTGGACCTGAGGACTCACCAGCAGATTGAGCTGGGTGAAGGGTTAGTCAGACAATGGAGCCCCCCTGCTCTATTTGAAATCAATCACACAGGCTTTCACATCAGTGTCCCTCCCTATGCCCCCCATCCCCCTCCCCAGCAGCAACACTGGGCCAGAGCCCCTCGGGGTCCCCAAACTGAACTGTCCATCCTCCTTCCAGGGCGAGTCCCCACAAGGTTAAAGAAAAGGGAGGGCTGAGTTTTCCGAATGTTTTGTGTGTTTACAGTTAAAAACTTTCACAAACAAAAAACAGGATCTTGTGGTACTGGTAGTTGCATTGGCAAAATAGTTTACTGAAAGAAAATGTGTGTTTTGTTTCATGATTTCTGAAACCTAGAGTTCAATTCTGGTCAGTTTTGAAGTGATAGTTATTAATAAGTGCCTTATGAGCCGTGACATTGGTTGTAGAGAATGAAGAAAAGAGCAAAAGTCTCTGTCCAGGCTAGGCTAATGGCTAGCCGAACAAGGGCGCCGAAATTAGCTGAAATTAACCAGCCACACTCTTTTACACCGCTTTAGTTTGTCATGTTCTCAGCCGAACATCGTCCACATCGAGTTGGAAAATAAAACATCAAACTGTTGTTTGGCTAGCAGTAGGCCTGTCACGATAACAAATTTTTCTGGACAATTGTCTCAGAAATTATTGCGATAAACGATAATATTGTTTGAAATTTGACAATAATTAGTAATTATTGTCAAATTTAAATGGAAATATTTAATTTATTTGGAATGTAGTACCTTTTTCAACAACCGGTTGGCAGTATAAGACTGAACTGGAGGATGGATAGTAAGGGAGCGAGCAGCGTGTCTCTAAGAAAAATGTGTCATGGGCTGTCTCTCTTTGGTTCTCAAAATGGCGGACGCTCGGTGTGGTTGGAGCTCTTTAGCATTTTTCACACAAAGCTTTTAATAAAAAATCAGTGAACAAATTCTCAGTTTCTTTTTACAGAGAAAAACAACTTTTTACACGAAGGCACAGGAGCTTCAACAAGACAGTTTTTTTTTTTCCCCCGAGGTCGACCTGTTAGCTTAGCTCGTAGCTTAGCTTCTCAGCTTAGTAGAAGAAAGAGAGACACGATGAAACGATAAAGCTGATAAATGAAAACGAGGTTGGTAATTTTCATTTATCATGCGATTAATTGATTTATTGTTTATCACGACAGGCCTAGCTAGCAGTAGCAGTTAGCTTAGCTCGGATAAAGACTTTTGCCGTCTTCTTTATTCTCCACGGTTTACGACTGATGTCACGGCTGATCTGGTATGTACAGGCCTTATTTACTTTCAGTATGTAAAAAAAAAAAAAAAAAAGTGTCCGCAAGCTAATTATTACCATCTGCTGTTTCCAAATTTCCACTAAAGACCAGCGGATACAAACTGAAATGGTGAGATTTTTGGAGGGAAAAACAAAAATGCGACGACTGCGAGTTTGGCACTTTGAGCATAAATTCTTCTTTTTTTGCTTTTAATACCTTCATTTTCGTGTCATTCAGAATAATTTATAAAAGGCAAATCATCTTTATGTCCTTGATATGTACATACAATATTTTAATATTCTAATATATTCACAGGAAATCATCGTTCTGGCACTTCGCCGCCACTAAAGCAACTTCTTTGTGTGAGACATCCTGAGATTTAAGACTTTTCTTTTTAAATAAGCAACACAAAAAGTAAAATATATAGAGAGATTTATATCAACAGTCAATTTCTTACCTTTTAATATAACAAAATAAATTCATTTTTGTTGTTAAAATGCCTTCACAACTGAGCGTCCATGCCCTGGTTTTAGTCTGTGAGAGATTTTTGTCCGGCACCTTTTTAAAGAAGGCGCTTAGAGAACCAGGGTCTCTTCTGGGGGGTTTCAGTGCCACAGCTGTCCACCGTCACAATGTTCTTTAGGCACAGTGCCCGAGCTGATAGTCCAAACTTTTATTTGTCCATTTCTCTGTTCGTTCCTCTTCAAAACTCCACTCAGTGATGAAACCCACCGGCCTCAGTGCTCCACGTATGTCTGTGTATTCAGATGCCCTTTTATGTCTAAAGGCTTTAGAGGATCGTCGACTTTTAGAAATGTAGCGGTGGACCTTCAGTTTAGCTCCCGAGAAGCGCGAAGCAGCAGCAGCTTTAGTGTCCATGCGCACACGTTCCGTTTATCGGAGAGCCGTTTTCACATCTATCCGAGAGCGCACGTCCTGATAGGCCAGGAGGCAGGGGTCGGTGGACAGGGCATCGTGGGTAAAAACGGAGTCGTTGTCGGAGGAGCAGGAGCTGGATGTGTCCTCGCAGGATGGGGAGTACTGTTCGAAAGGCGTCGACAGGTCCAAGTACTGGAAGTAAAAACAATTAAGGCATAATGGTTAAAACAGGAAAGAACACGAGATGAAATGTGTAAAATTGGTAAAACACAGTGGAAACCGGAATCTGGCCTGTTCTACAAGGTTTTCAGCTACTATTAGACGAGTGGCTTGCTGCTGGGACATGCAGAATCACTGGTTTGAAACCATCGAGTCTTTGCAGATAAATACTGACGACCAGCTTAGAGGTTCTGGTTCTAATCCTAAAAGGTTTGCGCATATCTTTAAGTATTTGAATTTAAGTGCACTAAAACAATCATTTATGTGAAATGATGGCACAACAAAGGCCCATTCGTTCATTCAGTTTGCACATCGACAACATCTGGGCACCAGATCGGGAGTAAAAACGTTCCAAACATCATGAATGAGTGAATGTTTGAAGCCCACCTCGTCAGAGATGGACAGCAAAGCTTTGTCCAGCTCCTCCACCAGCTGCTTGAACGTTGGTCTCTGGGTGGGAACAGCATGCCAGCATTCACGCATCATCATGTAGCTGCAGAGAAACAAAGATTGCATGAAATATATTTTAATGTACAGCTAGATAAATGCATACGTTGTGGAAGCATTGGCCATAGGGTTTAAGAGAAAGACGTCATGTGATTTGTTTGTGCTAAAAATATGCTTTGAGAATGACTCTCAGCTACTACCACACTGAAATGTAGCTCAACGTCTGTGAAATTAACTGAGTTATGGATAATTTTAGGTTTGCTAAGCAGAATTACCAATGATAGAAATTAAATGAGGTTGACTATAAAAGTTACTCAGGTTGAGATGTTCATCCACGGGAGTTGTGTTCAGATCTGTCCAGTAGTTCATGAGATATTTTGCTAACAGACACAGTTGACTCTCTCAGTTCATGCCAAAGTTTAAAACGGAGATCCAACAAAGAAGTTCAGTCAGGTCCTCTGGATGGTTTCTTTTTTTGTTGTTGTTGAGATGTTTCATCCTTCATTCAAAGGACTTCATCAGTACGAGGAGCCACAACAAACTTAGTCCCACAAGCAGCACACTCCCATAGTGGACCAACCAGTTTGCTGATGACAAGATGGTTTCCCTCTCCCCCGTGAACTCCTCTGAAGCAGCCATAGCCAAAATCATCCAGATGACCTGACTGAACATTGTTGGAGTCTTTACCTGGATTATTGAGCATGAACTTTGATGGTTAAAACAGAGATATGCACAGTCTGTTTATCCTTGTGTTGGGGATGACTCTCAGCTACTACCACCCCAAATTTTAGCTCAGCAACTGTAATGTTAATTGAGTTATAGCCAATTCTGTATTTATGACATTTGATAAGCTGTGGCGGCGATCTTGAGTCAGGTTGGCTTCAAAACGTAATCAGTTGTAGGCAAACGTTTAGTAATTTCTTTCTGAGAGTTCCAATGAAATTGGTCCATTGCTTTATGAAATATTCTTCTAACAGACAAACAAACTCGTTTACAAACAAAAACAATTGGTTGTTTGCCCTCCTTTCATGGTGGTGGGCGATAACTTTAAAAATACGAATTGAAATTGTAAAACCAAAGGGTTTTTGTTAATATTCAGTTCCTGATTTGTCTAAGGTGTAATGTGAGTTCTCCACCAATCTCAATGCCCGATTTAACTAATTTATGAAAAGTGATTTGGAATTACACAAAAAACAATTAAGCGTTCCTCCTTTTAGCTCATCCCACTTTTCTGAGGCTGATCAGTTTTACTTGTATCTCACTGACAAACTAGGATTGCACAACGTTCACTCACACAAACATTCCTGTCCACCAGGACTGGACCCAAACACAACTCCTACTTACAGCTCATGTGTGCAGTTGGAGGGTTTGTCCATACGATGTCCTTCCTTCAGGAGCTTGAAAAGCTCCTCAACAGGAATACCAGGGTACGGCGAACCCCCCAATGTGAAAATCTCCCACATCAGGACGCCAAACGACCACCTGAGGGTCAACGAAAGAAAAAACACGGATCAATCAAACTAACTATGATTAGAGAAGATGTTGTCAGGACACAAAGACTTTGGACGGTTGGACTTACACGTCACTTTGGTGTGTGTAGACTCTGTCAAACAGAGCTTCTGGTGCCATCCACTTCACCGGCAGCCGTCCCTGCAGAGCGAACAAAGATGCGTTAGAGCCAACGGTCACCGGCCACATACCTCTGCGCTTTTCCCACTAAAGTTTTGTTTGGTTTAAAAACAAATTCTCGCTCCTCTCCGTGCTCGCTCATGTCTGCCTCCTCCTTTTTCTAATTAAGTCCCATTAAGCCTGCTGCCAGTCTGGGGAAAACATGAGACATCTGTCTTCAAGGGTATGAAACTGTGAACGGAGTCATCTGGCTGAGGGGTAGAAATGGTTTTAAAGAGGAACCGTGTGAAACGAATTAATCTTTGTTCGTCCGAACAATGTTAATATAATACCTACGCACACTGTAAGTGAAACTAAAGTGTTGTTTAGTCGTGTGAATAATTATGAAGCATTCATTTTTCTTCTGCATGTTTTTAGCATGTAACTTGTTCCAGAATTAGTGTTATTTCAACAGTTTATACATCAAAACATTCAGCCCATTTAGGACATACTTTAGACATTTGTGCATGTTTTTAACTTTTTGAATTATTTAGCTTTTTCAACCATGTTATACTCATTGAAAGTCAACAGAGTGTTCTTCACAGCTTTGTTTTGTTTACAGAGTTTTACTGCTCATTTTCAGCTTTTTGTTTTCAGCTTCTTTGTGCTAGTTTTTGTTTTCTTCAGCTCATTTCAGCTAATTTTCAGCTTCTTTGTACTAGTTTTAGCTTCCTTCAGCTAATTTCAGCTTTTCAGCTTTTTGTGCTAGTTTTATCTTCCTATAGCTCATTTGTTTTTTTCAGCTTCTTTGTGCTAGTTTTAGCTTCCTTCAGCTAATTTCAGCTTTTTTGTGCTAGTTTTAGCTTCCTTCAACTCATTTTCAGCTTTTTTCAGCTTCTTTCAGCTTCCTTGTGCTAGTTTTAACTTCCTTTAGCTCATTTAAGCTTTTCCAGCTTCTTTGTGCTAGTTTTAGCTTTCTTTAGCTAATTTCAGCTTCTTTGTGCTAGTTTTAGCTTCCTTAAACTCATTTAAGCTTTTTTTGTTGCTCTTTTTAACTTCCTTTTGCTATTTTGTAGCTTGTTTTGTCCTTTCTTCCTTCTGCTAATTTCATATTTTTACGATGCTTTCAGCTATTTAAACTTTTTTGCTACTTTCAGCCACTTTCTGCTAATTTCAGCTCTTTTTTGACTCTTCAGCTACTTTTTTGTGATTAATTTTAGCTTTTTTCCAGCTAATTCCAGTTTCTTTTTTTGGCTAATTTCAAAATTTTAGTAAGCTGATCAGCCGCTCTTTGTCTATTTCAGCTTATTCTACTATATTTTTGCCATTTTTCTGCTGTGTTCTTTTTTATTTTCCTGCTTTCAGCAAATGTTCAAATTCAACTTGCATGATCAGTTTAGCAATGAAATCTTTTCAGCCTGGATTCAACTAATCAGCAGCTTTCAGGAAAAATCATCCAGAAAGGAGCTGCATGTTCACATGAATGTAATGTCTCTAACAATCAATGTTGTGGTTCGTTTGATGGCAAAGTGTTAAAATGTGTCCCAGTGGGATGAAAACATGCTGAAGACGATGTCTCTTTGTGTCTGCAGGAGTCTGAAATTCTAAAAGTTTCCCTGAAAAGTTGTGACTAGAAACTCACATTGGTGGTTTTCTTGTAGTAGTCAATCTGGTGGACGCCTCTGGCCAGACCAAAGTCCGCGATCTTCATCACGTTGTCCTCCGTCACCAGGACATTCCTGGCTGCCAAATCTCTGTGGATGCACTGCAGAAGGAAAACCATAAAAAACAAACGTGAACATACGAGCAAGTGCTGCGTCAAGCTGCAAATTCATGATTTATTATGAGCTGAAAGACGTTCTTTCAGCTGGTGGTGCAGAAGTTGATATTTTGATCTACCGAGCAGACAAAACAAGACAAAAAGCTCAATTATCCTGGATTTTAGAATCATACAAAGCTATTTATTACAGACAGTCTTGTTTGGTTGGTGAATTTAAGGATCAAGAAATAGCTTTAAAGGAGGTAGAAAATTATTGCTGACTTTCTTCTAAAATAAAAAGTCTCTGAAGTCTAAAGTCCACTCGCGGGGCCTCATTTTAGTGAATTCCACAAAAATAAAAAATGTCTTTTTATAGAGATCCTGGAGCTTTAAGAAAACACAACCCTCTAAGAAGAAAAAAGAGAGCACTGTTTGCCCACACCGAACGCATGTCATTAAGTTTATTTTAGTTTTCGTTTGAAATAGACTTGGGATTTGTGGGGACGAGCAAAATGAACCTTTCTTGGTTTGTGGGTCTCCCCATAATTGAGGGTTAGTTTAAGGCTCCAGCATTCTTGGGAGGCAGCAGAGCCGAAACCTGATGCCAGACGAAGGCTCTGCTGCCTGTTTGCTAACAGATTTATGGCAGCGCTAAAAAGGACAAAGCCCTGCGAGCAAAGGGACAGGCAGACGGATGGAGAAGAGTAAACAGGGCCGAAGCTGCGGCAGCGCGCCGCTCAGGAATGCCTGCCTGAGACACCGGCTGGCAGACAAAGAGGCGTGTTGATAAGACACACACCAACAGAATGCATGCTGGGAAAATGAAAGGGGTTGAAAACTAGGGGGAAGGCAGGGTAAATGAAGAGCGAGGCAGGAGGGCATGAGAGAAAGCTGGTCCCACTGAAAGTTAAGAACAGAGAAGTCAACCCAAAGTTTCCAAATTTATAAAAAAAAAACATGCATCAACCTAAAGTTTTGTGATATTAGCTGAGCTAGCTTTAAGCTGCTATAGTCATACCCATCTGCTCACACAGACTCATGTTCAGGCTGCTGTTTAATACACCGTATTATTTTACATTATTAGTGTTTAATGTATATCTTAGATCCCTGTATACTTTTTGTACTTTATATTTTTGCTATTTTTGAGTGTAACTGGAACCTTGCGTACACAATTTCATTCTACCTCATGTACCACATGTGATGCGAATGACAATAAAGAACCTTAAATGAATAGATTGCCTAAAACCTTTCTTTAAAGTGTTGCCATTGTTGATTTGGAGTTAACTCTAAGTTTTGTCTGCTAGCAAAATATCTCTTGAACCCCTGAATGAGATTTAATTAACCTTCTGAGAAATAATAATTGCATTTACGTTTAAAAATGTTCAATGCAGTTCAATTCAACTTTTATTTAAAAATGAGTCAATCCAATTCAAGATGGCCGCCACAACTAATCAACCATAGCCTTCACAAAAACGGCTTTAAATAAGTCAGTTTTACAGATATTGAACTAAACGTTGGTGTGGTGGTAACTGAGTTGTCCACAAAACATACTCTAAGTGCTATTTGTTGCATGAGATCTTTGCTTAAAACTTCAGTCAATGCTGTTCGTCTGTTAGCAAAATATCTCATGAACCACTGGACTGATTTTGATTAAACTTACAGTAAAAAATCTACCTTTTGAGCCAACCCAATTTAAGATGGCCACAACAACAAACTAACATTAGAAAACCCAAAAGTTGATATAGTTCAGTCATTTTTTTATATTTTGCAGCTGATTATGGTTTGCCATTTGTAAAGTTACACAGTCAAAAATTAACATCAATATTTTTGGTTTATCTTTTAGAAGAAAAAATAGGATTTTTTTTTTTCAAAGTCATATTTTTTGTTATTCATACATTTATAAATGTCATAGTTCCAAACTAAATATTTATTTTACAAATTCCATATTTAGTTTACAAAGTAAATATTTAGTTAGCAAGCTAAATATTTAGCTCCACACAAAATATTTAGTTTACAAACTAAATGTTTATGTCCAAGCTAAATGTTTAATTTACAAATTAAATATTTAACTTGCAAGTTAAATATTAGTGAACTAAATATTTGTGTAAATTACATATTTAATTTCAAAGCTAAATATTTATTTTCAAAACTAAACATTTATTGTCCAAATTAAAAGTTTAATTTCTGAGCTAAACATTTAATTCCTAAACTAAATATTTAATTTGCTAACTAAATATTTGGCTCTGACCTAAATATTTATTTTCCAAGCCAAATATTTAATTTTCAAAATCAATATTTAATTCACTAACTAAATATTTAGCTCAGACCTAATATTTAGCTAGCAAGTTAAATATTTAGGTCCGAGCTGAATATTTAGTTAGCAAATTAACTATTTATTTTGGAAATTAAACGTTTAGCTGGGAAAATAAATATTTAGATCTGAGCTAAATATTCCATCCATCCATTATCTTTACCCGTTTATTCCATTTTGGGTCACGGGGGTCACTGGTGCCCATGTCCAGCAATCACTGTGCGAGGGGCGGGGTACACCCTGGATGGGTCGCAAGTCCATCACAGGGCCACATAGAGACAAACGAGACAAACAACCATTCACTCTCTCACTCACACCTAAGGACAATTTAGAGTTACCAATCAGCCTAACATGCATGTTTTTGGTCTGTGGGAGGAAACCGGAGCACCCGGAGAAAATCCACGCATGCACAGAGAGAACATGCAAACTCCACCCAGAAGGGCCCCTGGACCGGGGTTTGAACCAAGGACCTTCTCGCTGAGAGGCAGCAGCTCTACCAGTTGCGCCACCGTGCTGCCCGAGCTAAATATTTAATTTGCTAATTAAATATTTAGTTTAGGAATTAAATGTTTAGCTTAGAAATTAAATGTTTAGTTTTGAAAATAAATATTTAGCTTGGAAATTAAATATTTAATTTACATCTAAATATTTAATTCACAAACTAAATATTTAACTTGTAAGTTAAATATTTAGTTTGAAAATTAAACATTTAGCTTGGACATGAACATATTGTTTGTAAACTAAATATTTAGCGTGTATTGCTAATTAAATATTTAACTTGCAAGTTAAGTATTTAGTTTGTAAACTAAATATTTAGTTTGGAACTATGACATTTATAACTGTATGAATAACATGGTGAAAATCTGCCTTTGAAAAAAAAAAAAAAACTATATATTTTTTCTTATGAAAGACTAAATATACCAAAAATACTGCTGTTAATTTTTGACTGTGTAACTTTACAAACGGCACCACAAAGCTGATCTATCAATATTGCATGAGATCACCAATAATGTAATTGTTAGGTCTGTAACGTCATAATTTCTCTAAACAAGACGACCTGAGTCTAAATTTCTGTTGTGAATGAAACCTGTAATCTCAGCTGTACGCACTGTTTCAAATATTGTGAGGTTTGAATTTGACAGATGTCTTTCTTGTATGGAAAAACAAGCGTTCTTCAGAGAATCTTAGTGAAATAAAGTGACGTTTCTGCTTTGATTTAACAATCTTTTTTGAAACATTCTCCAAAAGCACACTGTCAAACCTTCAAAATGAAGTAAAGAGTGTTTTCAGCCGTAAATCAGCCACCAGGCCATCGTACTGTTTCTTCTTTAGACTGACTTCATCTCATTCATAAAACTGCTTGTAGACAGATTTACAGCCAATAAAACGTTCAAATGTCATTTCCACGCTTTCAAGTGAACCCACCCTTTTGGAGGCCAGGTACTCCATCCCTCGGGCCACCTGGTATGCACAAGACAGCAGGTCTTTGAAGGTGAGCTGCTCCTCGGGTACTTTAGTAACATCAAAGGTGTAATCCATGCCTGGAGGTCGCCTGGCCCGCAGGTACTCCCTCAGACTGCCTTTGGAGGCATATTCCACCAACACATACAGAGGGCCTGCAGGGGTGGGAGTAAAACAGGATGAAGGGCCGTTTGTGTTTTTATGTTAACCTCTGGGTTTGAGATGAAACAAACTGAGAAGCGGGAAGAAGCTCACCATCCTGTGTGCAGACGCCCAGGAGGTTGATGATGTTCTTGTGCTTGTCCATCACTTTCATCAGCTCCATTTCTGAAATCAGGTCCGCCAGGTCTTTGTCCGTGGCATCGTCTGAGAAAACAATTGCACGGTTTAGACCAGGGCTCTGCGACCTGCGGCTCTGGAGCCACATGCGACTCTTTGGTCCCTCCGCAGCGGCTCTTTCAAGTTTTGACCAAAACTAACAAACTGAATTTTATCACCCACAACCAAAAAATGGCTAGTTTTAGCAGTTTTCCTGTCGTTTTCTTTACAAATATGTGGATACTGCATTTTACGGCCTATTCAGGTCTCACTTGTAAATGAGTCCTCGTGGCTGAATGGGACTAACCTGTTTAAATAAAGGTTGAATGAATTAGTCACACCTTTTGACCTAATTTGCAAACCCTGCGACTTATATGCCGTTTCCCTCCTCATGGTCTTCGACTAACAGTAGCACAATTTCCGCCGGCACCCTGTTTGTCAACAGCACCAGTAGCTGTCGCTAACTCGGGCCTCGACCGATCTGGTATGGTTTCGCTTTGATGAACTCTCATTAAGGTTTTGACAAAAGTGTTTTACATCGGATGTCGTTCCTGACACAACCCTCACCATTTACCCGAGCTTGGGACAGGCACAAGAGATACACTGGTTTGTGCTCCCTAGTGGCTGGTTTGATGGAGGCAAAACACTAGGAAGAGAAAAAGGAACCAAGAGAAGGATAAACAAAAAATACAGACAAGAGGACAGATTATGACAGAACAGGAAAGGAAATAAAGATAAGATAAACACAAAGGAAACAGACAAAAAGGGCAGACTGTGATAAATTGGATGTTTCTAGTTTTATAATTTCACACCTAATGGCCATAAAAGACCCTCTAACTTAAAGTGGCCCATGGGCCACCAGTTGATAATGACAACTGTAGCAGGTTTTGTGGCTCTGGACACGTTTAATTTAGTGAACGAAGGGGCAGAAATGGCTCTTTTGATCGTAAAGGTTGCAGACCCCTGTTTTAGACAAACGTGTCTTCGCACCTGCAGCAAACTGAGAAGTTTTTTATTTTTTAAATTACCTTTGAGCATCTTGACCGCCACAGTGTTGGCCTGGTCCGAACCGTCCTTGTTGATCCCAAAGGCTTCGGCTCTGACCACCTGACCGAAGCAGCCTTCTCCTAGAGGTTTTCCCAGTGTTAAACTAGAGAAACAAACATAAGAAGAAAACAAGTGAAGCCTCGTGTTAAGTTAAAAACTGTGAAGTAGGGATAGTACTTTGTAGTACAAGTAGTAATTAGTAGTTTATTTTAGTAGTTATATTTATATATTCCCACACTCTTGCAAAGATCTAAATAATGTTTATAAACTCTAAATGCTCTAAAAGAGCACAGAATGTCATGATTTCAGCTCCCTGCCTCATCTGCTCTTTGCCACCTGCAAGCGCTCTTGGCCACGCCCACTTCTCAGCTCTGCAAGCAGAACAGCTGATCAGCTGCAGCAGGAAGTTTATCCTGCATCGCTGGGCTGCACAAATGTGCAGCAAGTGATCAACATTTTAAAATAATTTATTTTAAATAAAAATTCCATGCCATTCGTGCGGCTCATCCATCAGTCAGCCAATTGTGTGTCATGTCCAATTTTGTTTTGAAAAACCGCGACAGGGCGAGTCCGCGATAAACGAACCGCGAAGTAGCGAGGGACTACTGTATGTCCAAATAAAAACTGAACAAATCCATAATTTGGACTTCTGGTTTTTTAAACTACAGGTTTGAAAAAGCTGAAATTGAGCTACACGCTTTTCTTTTATTTTTAGCTACCCACATGATTCGAGAGCTGCAATTTTTATTGAGCCTGGATCCGAACAGCCGCAGGAAATATAAAGGTTTCTGAGACAGCAATTCAAAACTTATGTTTGCAATCATTTTAAAGATAAATGGGACTTCAAAACATCCTCTTCCTCCTCTAATTGATGACAGATGTGTAGCTTATACAGCAGATAACTTACTTCTCTCTTGGGAACTCCCAGTCCGGATCGTAGGGCAACTCAAACTCCATAACTCCGGCCAGCATGGGTGAACAGCCGGACGAGAGTCGAGCCACCCTCATCAAGGACGCGCTGGACTTTCCTGACGAGTTGGACTCTACAGAATACTGTGGGAAAACAGACGTAAACTTCATGAACATCCCTTCGAACGTCTAGAAAGTTTGACTTTAGATGACGTAGGATGATATTTCATGCGAGCTGCTACTGCATGCACTTTGATCCCAAAGATTTTAATACAAGCTTCGGTAGAGTAAGGGACCCAAAGGGACACATTCTATTTGAAAGAGTAACTGCACTGATAGCATTTCGTCATACCTGCCTACGAAGTGGGAACTTTGAAAGCTTCTGCACAGGAAGGGCATCGAAAGGCTCCCTTCTAGGGCGGACCTGCATCCGACACAACACCACGATGATGATGGCCATGAGCAAAGCCACAAATCCGCAGGCGTAGATGATGATGTCGGTGTACTTTGTCGCCATGGTTTCAACGGCTACCGCTGCTTCTTCCTCTGCAGAGGCAAGTATACAGGTGCACTTAAGCCACGTGTTTTGATAAACCAAAATTACGAGGAATGCGAAACTTTATGGGTGAAACATGATTACAAGGAAATTAAGGACTCTTTAGTTATACTTTACCTGACAGTACAGTGAGCCAAGCAGACTGGTAGGCGAAGCCGATTGAATTACCGGCCAGGCAGGTGTACTCTCCTGCGTCTTCCATGGTAACTTTGGACAGGTACAACACCTCCACCTCTGACATGTTCAGGCTGCCAGTCTGCAGAACATGAAACGCAACAAAACAAAAAAAACCATAAATATACAGAACTTTAAAGACAGCTGTAATTTTTTTTTTTCACCATCTCTTAAATCCTATACGAACCTTGAGGACCTGAACGTACGGCGTCCCATCAGGACCATAGCGACTGCCGTTCCTTTCGATGTGCTTGAGCCACTGAATGTGAGGCTGAGCGTCGCTGTAGACTTTGCAGTGGAACTGAACGTCGCTGCCAACAACGGCTGTGGTGTTGGCAGGTAAACCAGCTTGCAGGATTGGCCTGTGAGGGGAGCGTTCTGTAACAGGAGGAAATAAGGGAAAGAACTGATGATCAATGGTAGAAGAATGTTTGACTATATGAAGATTAAACAGATCTACAGCGCATGGTTTAGTTTTCAGTGGGAGTCTACCACTGCAGGAATTGTACGAAGTAGTGGCTAAAAACATCTAAACATTAAACAACTGGGAAACATGACTATATTTCAAACAATCGTCTCAAAATAGCCACCAATTGTCAAACACTGATGTGATTCTGTACTGGCAACCAGACAGGAAAAATCTTTTTGGGAATGAAAATTGGTTCCATTGTAGCATGACGCTCTGTCAATGGTCTCTTTGATCTGTGGTCGCCCTCGCGCTCTGATCTCGTTAGTTGTCTCGTTAGTCTCCCCCCCTCCCCCCCCCCCCTTTCCGTCAGCAGAGATGGAAACTGACCCCGGAGTAAACAGACGGGAAACAAACGAACAAACAAACCGCAGCCCTCCTCAACTTCTCGTCACAAATCGGGTAGAAAACTGGAGCTGACGTCTCACGGTCCAGATCCTGGTCTGCCATGGCTGATGCCAGGCATCCCTGTCACCTTCTGCTCACCCCTCATGTCATTTCCCCTGTCACTGTGGCGGTTACCTTTTGAAGGCTTTTTTGTAGGCAAATTCTGACTAATGCGTCGACAACTGCTTCAAATGATAAACATTTCATCCTTACCATATGATGTATGTGCTGCTGTTCAGCTGGTCTGAGTCACACTGGTTTCCTGCTTGTGTGTGTTTTTTTAATATCTAACCTGCATTCTTTGTGGTAATTTAACGCTTTCAGTATCAAAATGTATCGCTCCATTGGTAATAATATTTTATTATTTATAGCTATTGTATTATTTAAATTATTAACTATGTTTTGTTAGTTGTAGCTTTTAGCTATTTTTATGAATTGTACCTATTTGCCACGGTATTGATAAGTTTTGCTTTCAGCTAGTCTTGTTAAATTTATCTTTTAGCTCCTGTTTTGCTGTCTTTAGCTTTTTACTGTTTTTTTTTTATTATAACTTTTAGTTATGTATTGTAAGTTTGAGCTTCGAGTTATTTTTATGTCATAATTTTATCTTTTAGCTATTAATTTTAGCTTTTAGCTATTAATTTTAGCTTTTATTGCTTAACAGTCATGCTGCATTTCCAAAGAAAATGCAATTTCTCTCTTTTTTTTTTAAATGACAACAAATCAAGACACCCAAGGAAGAATCATTTATGTCTTACCCAGAACGTCAAGGACGTAGCTGTGAGAAATGGATCCATATTTGTTCTCCACCATGCAGGTGTAGTTCCCTCTGTCCGAGGGCACCACGCTCTCCATCACCAGGCTCCAGTGTTGGTGTCTTAGCTGGTCAAAGTAAAACAGAACAGTTAGCATCTAACTCTTGAGCTGTACAAACTGTATCTGGAGTAGATGGCCAACGCTAAGAAGCACTCACCTTTATCCCGCCGATGCGGTGCTCTCCTCTGAATTCACGCCCGTTCTTGAGCCAGCGGATGGTTGGTATTGGGCTGCCCATTGCCGGGCAGCGAAACTTGACCGTGTTGCCTGCAGGGACAGCGTACAGCTTCTTGTCCATGCGCTGGGTGTGGGTCCAGTAGGGACCTATAGAGACAATCAATGAGTCAACCAGTAGGGGGTTTGTTTGCTATCAGCGCCACTGTTTGAGCAAACACACAACACACCTCTGGAGAAGTAAACTTGATCATTTTCTATCTCGGCTGAAGAGTCCTCCAAGCCGTCCTCGTCATCGTCCCCCGACCCCAACGTGTCTGAAAACAAGACAGAGAAAATGAATAAACAGAACTTGGACACGTCTTGCTCATTAAAACACGCGTAGAGCGTGTGCACCCTACCTGCTACAGTGATGGTGAAGTTCCGCACTGGATTTTTGGTTCCTCGGAGAACACAAACATAAATTCCTGAATCGTCATAAGTCACGTCTGTGATCTCCATGGTGGCTCCACGCATCTGGATCCGGGGCGTCGGCAGCAGCCGAACGCCCTCCTTGTACCAGTTCACCGCCATACCTGGCCGCGTGTTCATGTCGCAGCGAAGCTTCAGAACGTTTCCCGGCTCCAGCAGGAGATGCTCCGTGGTGTCCTCGCTGAGGTCCTTGAGAACTTCTGTTCAAACAAGAAGAGTTTTTAGCTCCCTGACATGTAGGCTGCTCCTCGTTTCAGTTTCTCTCTGATACTTTTTTTTTTGGCAAACGTTATTTCTTTATATTTTGTTTGTTGTTGGACACAGAGAACCACACAGCATTAAAAACCCTCTCACCTAAATCTAATAGTCATTCCTTCAACTATGACCTTCAACTCCTCGACCCCATTATCTTCCATCCCCACAAACACATGAGCACAATGAAATTACCATGGTGACCGAGGCCTTAATGACCCGACCCTCCTCCCTTTTCCCTCCTCCTCCCCTTCTTTTTGTTCCTCCGTGGATCATTGTGAGACTGAGAGCGATACAGCTAACACCGCAAACTCCCTCTCTTCCCTTCTCACTCCAGAAAAGTGATAAAGAAACAAGCAAAGAAGAGAGGCTGACGCTAATGAACATGTTGCAATGTGACAGAGGACGGCGAGTTTAAGACTCGGGTGGTAAGGGGTCACTGGAGATCTAAGTGAGCAGCAGAAGACAGTTTTTTTCAGCCCACCCTGATGGACATTTATCTTTTGTACTTCACATGAGTTAAAGGTAATCAAACATGTGCTCAGCTTCCGTTAAAGTTTAGAAATGTAGCATTAAATCCAGATCAAAATTACCTGGTGGAATTTCAGCAACGGTCATTTTTACAGTTTGGGAAATGATGGTGCCTGTGCAAGAGAAATGAATGTTAAAACTCATATCAAGACCAATCTATGAACCCACACAGGGTGCTAAAGTAAAATATTTCTGTAGCCTTAAATTGTGATGTAAAGATAAGGGTGTCTCACCAGGCAGGACTTCCAGCCATGCCGACTGCATGGCCTGAACCGTCTGTCCCCCGTGGGTGCCCTCAGCCATGCAGATGTATTCGCCTGCATCCTCAGCAGTGATATTGGACAGGTGCAGAGTGTTCACCTTGGACCCGTTACTTTGCAGGGGCTGCAAGAGGGAGAAAATATGTTAGCATTGTACGGCATCACGGTTAAAACTGCTGTTTTTACAACCTGTAACTATGTTCTCACTGTCAGGGCCTTGATGTCAGGCGGTCCTCCTGGACTCCGTTCTGAACTTCTGGTATCCGTTTTCAGCCACTGCACTTTGGTGGATGCTGGCCGGTGGACCTTGCATACCAGTTTCACCTGACCCCCAACCAACCCCGTTGTGTTTTCTGGGTAGCCTGGCACGATGAGAGGTCTGGACACACGAAGGTCTGGAGAACACAAATGAAAAAGATGTAGAAGGAATTGTATTCAAGGAGGTGTAAGGCTTTATATTTAATCCAAAGTCTGAGTTTGATGTTTGAAAAGAGAGGAGCGCCACAAAAAGTCAGAATTCCAACTTGGAAAGTCAAAGGCTTCTCACCAACCTTGACTTCCCAAGTAAATGGACTGCACTTATGTAGAGCCTTTCTATCTTATCAAGATACTCAAAGCGCTTTACAACACAATCTGTGTCCTCATGTACCCATTCATACATCACTCTATATATCGCTACAAAGCTAATTGAACAAATCATTCTAAAGAGTCTAATCAGAGCTTTATCACATTCATACACCAATGGGACACATATGTCTTGCCCAGGGACACATTAGCATGTGACTGCTGGTGGATTCGAACCTCCAACTCTTGAATTGTAGGACAACTGCTCTAACCACTCAGTCACAGCCGCCCCATATAAGACTTCTCACCAGCCCTGACTTCAGTTTCAAACATGGCTGCCCTGGACATGAAAAATGACGATAGCAACAAAAGTATAATGTCTATTTTCCACTTCTGACAGCTCACGACATAAAATCTATCCCTCACAAAGTACTTTTCTATCTCTAATAGTTAACATGTTACTATAGTGTTCGAATCTGGTACGTTTCATTGTCAGCTTGTAATGAGTCGTTAACCCGACCACTGAGCACAACAGTGAAAATCCTATTTTCCAACATCATTCTATAAATAAAGGTTGAATGAAAAGTGACTATAGTAATGGGGCCACAGTCTGAATTAGCTGACCATCGTTGTTTCAAACCATCTACAGACACAGATGAATTTCCTACAGTCCCAGAAACTTCTTCTAGAAACTTTGGGGTTTGTCAACATGCATTTTGGTTATTTTTTCCTTCCTGGGTTGTCTTTCACGAATCCCGTTACGACGCAAAATGTGATGTACCTTGACCTTGGAGTTCATCTTGAACCGTTTTGAATGGTTTCTTTGGCTCTTTTTCCACTATCCGCACTGTCATACATGATGATTGATTGTTTTGGATGGGTGGGCCCTGTTTGCATGTGTTAAAAGCCTACTTCTGAGATTCCACAAGAGGAAGGCTACTATGGGACAGATCTGGTTGGCACTGGCAGGCCACAGACTGACGAAGCCTTCTGGATGGGAGACGAAACTTTCCTCACATAAAGAAACTGATCCCGATGACATGATTTAACCTTTTTTGTTGTTATCTACCTGAATGATTGAGCTTACAAACCTTTTTTTTTAATCTGCACTGTCCTTTCGATCAACCTAGGGTTGCATTTTCTCTTGCGTCCATGTCCCGGGAGGTTGGCTACAGCTCCATGAACGTTCTACCTTTTCATAATCATGGCAGCTGTAGTCGGAGGAACACGAAGTTGCTCAGAGATGATTTTGGAGCCTTTAGCTTTAACGTGAAAATCTATAGTCTTCTCTACAGCTTCTTGGACAGCTCTTTGGGTTCTCTGCTTCATGTTCACAACTGCATCAAACTACCAAGTGGCATATTTATTCCTTTTAAAAAGACGACTGTTTGATGAAAAACTTGAAAGCACCTGTGATACTAATTAGGGTTAAACGCTTACTCTTAAGGGTTCCAACAAATCTGTCCATATTGTTATAGCATCTCTTTGTCAAATCAACAGCAATCCTTTCTTTGTTTACTCTGTCACACACTCGGTGTGCAAATATACATTAGATAATGGCTTTTAACCGAATCACTTCTCATGAGAAATGTAGTGATTCACGGGTACCAACAAGTTAATCTACATCTGTAAAGAAACACATCCTGATAGTTTTCAGTTTATCTCTGCAACGGAAGCACACCATCCAACCTGGTTCTGACAATGTTGCCATCAGTCACAGCGCCATCCATTCAATGGGTCATTCACCCAATTTATATGCTCTGAGGCATATGTGTTCCCCAGCCGGGGACCTCGGTCACTGCTCAGTCACTCAGGACGAGCAATTTTCCAGGGCAATTTTCTGTTTGATTGCTTCCTGCGAGCACTAAGTGAAAAGGCAATCTGTTCTCTTGTTGGACTGAAGTGCTGCCTTTTTTGTTTAATCACTCAGAGTGCATGCAGGTAATGCTTTCAGGAACAAATACACGCTCACAGCCTTGTAAGTGGAAGATCAGGCGTGGTCAAACGGAGGAAAACACATTAAAAGCACCACGAGGGCGACGAGTTTTAACGGAGACGGATTCTGTCTGTTTAGACAGAGCCCAAAGAATGAGGCGAATAAGACGATCCCAACAAGCCACTTGTTGTTAGTTTGTATTTCAAAGCTGAAACCAGCCGAACAGACACAGCCGTAAATCACCCACATGCACTTCAACTGTGCTAATGAACTTGCAGGGACAGGGACGGTGCCCTGGAGTTGAACCTGCGACGGAGTGTGAATTATCACCCAGAGGCGAGAGGGCAAACAACTCAAAACACAACACAAACAAACCGCTCAGCTGCTGAGAGCCAGCCAGCCGGGCGGGCGGGCCGGGCTGGCAGCAGAGCCCTGAGCCGGAACAATGAGTGGTGGTACTCTCCATCAGGTCACTTCATGCACTCGGTCATGTCTGGTTTGTTTCTGATCGGTTCATCTTCATCACTAACCATTCTGCAAGCTGTGTGCAGCTGAAGCTGTGTAACTGCAGAGGTTTGGGAGTGGATGCGTTTCAGTAAAAACCACATGAAGAATCCACCCCGACCAAAAACACGACATGTGCACTTGTCCGTTTTCTTTCTTTCTTTTTTTTTTATGTAAAACACAGCCAAGATTTCAAGCTGCTTGGCCGTAATGAGAGCTAAAAATCAGTTTTTATGGACAAACCAGCTCCTCGGGCCTTTGCAGTTTAAGATCTGCAGGGAAAGAAATAACGTTAATCAAAGTGGCTGTGCCTTCAAGCCTCCTCGGTATCTTGAATGTCTGGCAGGGAAGGCAGCGGCTGATGAGCACTCCTAAATAAAAGCCATTGTTTTCTGAACAGATGTTCACTTCAGCTGTTTTTGTTTGTATTCTACAAAGTGAACATTTCTAAGCTCAACCTGCCTCTCATCTCTTAATCGGACCTAAAAAACGTGCCATGGCGTAAAACAAACAGCCGTCATCGTCTTCTCAGCAGAAACCTAGAAGGTAATGGTGCTCGGCTGCTTTAGCCTCTTCTCTCCCCGTCCTCTGCAGCTGGCATGCAGCCAGGCAGATTTACACTTCCGAGCCCCCGGGGGCCTCGGGCGGATCAGGTAGCACACTTTACAACAGCAACAAAACTCAGAGCTTCTGACGTCTTTTTTTAACTCTTATTTTTTGTTGTCATCTCGACTTCCTCCTGGCTCATCAAATGTAATTTTCTCAAACGATGAGGAAAGAGGAGAGTCAAGTTTCTCACCAGAACTGAATTCAAAATCTTACTTCTAACCTACAAAGTTCTCAACAACCTAGCTCCGTCTTATATTCGAGAGCTTATTGTTACATATTTTCCTAACAGAGCACTTTGCTCTCAGACCGCAGGCTTACTCGCAGTTCCTAGAGTTTCCAAAAGCAGAATGGGAGGAAGATATTCCAGTTATCAGGCTCCTCTCTTGTGGAACCAACTTCCAGTTTCTGTCCATGAGGCTGGCACATTGTCCAGTTTTCAGACTGGGATTAAGACTTTCCTTTTTTATAAATCCTATAGTTAGGGTTGGCTTGTTATGCTGCTATAGACTTAGACTACTAGAGGACAAAATGACCTCTTCTCCTTAAATGATTTGCTAAAATTGAATAGTTTTCGTTTGACACTATTTCTAAACATGTGATTCTCGACCTGCCATTGTGTATCTATTCCTCTCAAATCAAACCAAGCTGGTCGAAGCAGATTGTCCTGCGCCTGGTTCTGCTAAAGATGAGGGAGTTTTTCCTTTCCACTGTCGCCTTCGTGCTTGCTCAAGATGAGAGTTCTGTGATGGAGTTCAACTCAAAGCAGTCTGCTCCTCACATAAATAATGTTCAATTATTATTTTTACACGAAAGTTTATGTCCAGTACCCCGAGACGACTTCTGCTGTGACTTGCCGCTGTATAAATAAACTGAATCAAAGTATTTTTCGTTACAAAATAAAAGCGTTCTCACTTTTAGTCCTCGTCTCCCCGATGGCTCTGAGTGCGGCTCTGTCCACCAAAGCGAGCAGCAGGACGCAGAACACGCAGACCCGCACCATCTTCTGGATGGGACGCGTGTCTTTATGGTTTGAAGGCGACAAAACGTAGAAGCCTGCTGGGGCCTCACACTCCGGTCCCTGGCATCGGCTACCTCGGGAATTCTCAAAGTCTGTAAATCTGGATCCTGCAGGGACAAAACAGAGACAAGAGATGAAGACAAACTTTCCTGTTCACGTCAAAACCAGATGGCAAATAAACCCACAAACAAATGTCCCGCCAAAACGCCACAGCTGTTTGAACTGAGCAGCTGTAGTCCTCAGCAGATGTCCCGCTAACTGTCCCACTCGGACGTCTCGCGTTGTCCAGGCTCTCCTGTGTGGTGAACGAGGAGCAGACAGGCTGTTGTTTGTCAACGATGGAGCTCAGCCCGTCCCGCCATAATGGACCCTTACTAGGAAAAACACTTGAAGCCTGCCAGGAAGCTGGTGGCCGAGCAGTGAAGCAGATGACAGGAGCGGAAATGTGCCCCGAACGTCTGTTCAGCGTTTCTTCACGAAATGCACATCGCCTGCCATCTTTCACGACAGGAATTATATCCGTTAACCGTTACATCCATTACTGTGTTGACTAATGCCAATTAGCTGTGGCAGCCATCTTGAATCTGACCCCAAAAAGGAATCAGCTGATGTTTGAGTACATTCTGAAAAGTGTCATTGCAACGCGTTCCAAATTTCAGCGAAGACGTCATAATGTTATGAAGGACTCTCAGCTACAACGTCAAATCTCAGCGCAACATCTGTCCAGCTGATTGATTTATAGCCAGTTTAGTGTTTTCAAATCTCAGACAGCTGCAGTGATCTTCGTGAGTTGAGCTCCGAAAGGCCAACAGTTGTTGAAGTATATTATTTCATGGAAGATTCTTTATTAAAAATAGTTCATGAGATATTTTACTTTAGTAGTTAAGCTAAGGTACTGAGCACTTTTCTTGTGAGATGAGTTTGTGCTCAGAAGGTGAGTTGGGGCTCAGTCTCAGCTACAACTAAGCCAACTTTTAACCTAACATCTGTAAAAACTGGCTGAATTATAGCCATGTTTGTGATTCACATATTCGACTAGCTGTTGTGGCCATCTTGAACCGTGTTGACTCCTAATGTAAACCAGTTGTGGCTACACTTCGAATGATCACTTTCTAAAAGTATCGCTGAAATCCGTTCATTAGTTCATGAGATATTTTGCTAACAGACAGACAAACAAAAAGGCGGGTGATATGGCTTCACTGTTTATGTTAATTCATCAGTTTGTACTCTTAGAAAATGCTAAATGTCTTATTGTCTGAAAATCAGCCTTATAAGTGTATAAACACCCAAAAGAATTCAAGCTGTGTATGAAAATAGTAGCTAAAGTAAAAGACTTTAAGCTTAACCTTCGTGTTTAAGTTTCCGGTTGCGGACTGAAAGTGTAACTTGTAAAAAAAAAAAAAAAAAAAAAAAA